GCTGTTTATAAAACGAATGAACGACGTGTTGATATGGCAATGAGGCCACCTTAACACCGATGTTTGAAATGAAGATGAAACGTTTTAACACCACTTCTCCAGGTGAGCGCCTAAAGAACGAAGGAGTGCAAGGTCCGTTAAAAAATTACGAGTATTATTGCAAAACAACTTGGGTCCTCCAAGATGTAATATTGTACAGCCGAATAGCCGTGTTAAATCTCCAACTTTGTTGTTCATTTAGCATTTATGTTTTCTCGCACTGGTGACATAAGCAATCTCCAGAGGCTTACAAAGACGATGTGACCGCAAGTCGCTTGAGACGCAAGCGGCAGTTCATGTCTGTAAACAGCAGAAGGGTCTATACCAAATGATTGATAAAGAAGAGTAAATGCACTGTACCAAAGTTTTTAATATATAAAAGACTTGGTACGCTGAAGTTGCCGCCGCAGCTTATGCAACAGCAATCTTTACAGAGAAATGCATGCGGGGAGCGTTACGTGCTTATCATCTATCACGTGGTTTTCTGTAAAATGTCTGGGTTTTGGGTACCAAACCAACGACGGCCATCTGGCACGTCCCAGTGGAGGACTGAGGATTAATTTGTACCACGTGGTACAAATTTTGACGCGCAACGGAAAGCACGGTAACACGGCGCCTTCTCCGTAATAAGCCTCATTAGTTTGCGGGCACCTGGGCCAGGATTTGAACCCTCCACATGGGATCCGTAGGCCGGCGCTTTGCGTCGAAGCCACAGAGGTTGTTTATCACGTGGTTTTGGAACTTTTTTTGTGGTTTGCTTATTGAAACAAGTGTAAAACAAGATGATAAAAGATGAGGCGCGCTGTAACGGTGATAAGCCGCGTGCGTGGGGTTTTCTATCGTCTATTTTTGTCGACTACTGTTCTGTCAACGGGGACGAAACAAACCGACCAACGAATCGTATACAGCATCGCTGTAAAACGCGTGGGCGAGTTTTCGCACCACTCGCCTTGCGCGTGGTTACAGAAACCTATAGCGCATCACCACGTGGTGCGCTACCCACGCTTCCATGCTACGCAGACGCCCCAAATGTTTCTAGCGTTAGTAATTCAGTGTTTTTTTATTGACGATCAGTAAGCGTCTGATTAAAACCACGTCTTCATATTTTATAATTAAGAAGTTAAAGAAGGAATCTTAGTTCATTCAGGAGCTTATTAAGGCGATTATCCCCTATGTTATGTCGCCCTGGCCCTGACCGTATAACAGACCTACAAATATCGTATTAATATAGGGGTATTCACGGGGGGCCATTTGGTTGGACGTTTTTCACAGCGCTTTCTCAAAACGATGCTCGAGGACAAATTTGTATGGCATTTCAAGAGAAGCGGACACCGTCCCGCATGCTCAGCTTTGATCGGTGCTCAAGTTCCGCGAGCGCACGGGTACCACTGCCTGCTAGAAAAGAACCAGTATGCACGTTCAACGTCCACTCCACACAAGCACAATCCTTTTTCTTGGAAGTCGACAAATCAGAGCTAGCTAACTGTTCGCGTTGTAAACTATGTTCAGTATTATGGCACCCCGTGAACATCCCCTATAAACCTCTCCAAAAACGGAGCTCCTGGCCGGATGCATTTTCAGTGTTCGTGCGTAGCGTGTGATTGACTCGCTTTCTGAAGCAATCAACATGCGCGTGAAGGTTGAGGAGATCGCACCCTGGGCTGAAGACATGTCTGTATTCGAATTGTTTCTTTTCATGGGAATATGAAGTTATATTGTGTTGGAGTGAAGACGACATTGCAAAGGCGTGCTCGTCCTACTTGGACCCAGGTATACTCCCTCTAATCTCCACTGATTAAGAAGCCTCCTTGATGCGGCGAAATTGCGAGAAGAAAACCGGACAATTTCCTTCAGTCTTGCCTTTGGAAAGCTTTATGATGTATTTGTGGGATTGAAGCCCCCCACCTGACGACAATGGAGCGCGGCTCATGAATTTTCACGAGAACTGTGTGGGCTCCCGACTTCGGCTCGTAACAATCATTGAATCGGCGGATATTCGGGTAGTGGCTTGTTTTCAACCACTGCGATGGTAAGAATAGCTGAACTCTAACAATTCTTGCTCAGCACGCGTTTTCTCCTTTGCCAACCTTAGCGCGTGGCTATGATTAGCGTTGGCGCCAACGTACAGGTACCAGGCCACGTGGCCACTTGTTATGGCTTCAAGTTGTAGGGACGAACGATGCTCATATTTGTCACATATTTTGACGATTGTCATCGCCTGGAAAGGAAAACTGAGGCAATTTTATTCAGTTATTAAAGTTACACAGTGATTCAAGTAGTATTTAAACGAAAGTAGTAAAATCGTTTCAATGGCTCCTTTAATAAAATTGTAAAGCTTGAGGCCGCGACGCCGGGCCTAAGCGATATTTGCTCTCGTCGTATTTTATTGTTTCATTTTTTGTCGTTTTTTTTTCTTTGTTGCTAGATGTCCTATTTGTCATGAGGAAGATCGGTGGCCGAGCGCTGCAGAACCCAGGGATATTGGGCTCAATCTTCACCCCTGCCCGTTTCGATCTGGATGAGCATCGTACCAGCGTGCGGTCATGTATCACTACAGCGTGGTGCAGGTTAAAGTCCCTGGGCTAGCGCTTGTACCGCAATAGTTAGATTACTTTTCTAAAGCTCCAAGACAAGTGGCCAGAATTGAGGTAAACTAACTTCATGTTGCGTAAACATACACACAAAAACACATGCTTGCATGGGTACTTGAAAGTTCCTAAAGGGATGCTGCATCTCAACGCAATTGTGCCATTCTTCTCTCAGCAATACTGGATTTCTAGAGTTCTATTGATATCATAAACCACTGAAACGGGAGATGACGAACCGACATAGATCCCGCGTTGGTGACATTTCTATTTCTTTTCAACTGAAGTCTACTAGCCACTGTTTTATTTGTTTTGTTTTTTTGCTTTTTTTTGTTTATGGCTGGTTTAGCAATGTGGTAAGGCGTACAGAAACATGACAAACATCATGATGGTGGGCTTTTGACGCTGTCTGATTTCTCCCATCATCTCGTTGTGTGGGCATAGCTACACAGTGCTGACTAGAAACGGCTCTCGCATGCGCATTGTGACGAAGTAAAGTGACCAGAACAGGCACTAACAACACGTAAGGGCCAGTAGTAATTGCATCAAACTACAACTGCCTATAATTGTTCTCACATGAAACAAGCTACCTTGAGCGTAAGCATTTACGTCACACGTAAGCTCTGGCAAAATGTCAGCAGTCACTGATTTGCTTCAAAACTGCTTGAACCCATTTTCAGACAGACCTCAATAGCAACAACAATTTCAAGTCATATTAATTTGTTTTCGCGAATGTATTGAAGTTTTAAACATGGTTCGAGAGGCTGATATGATCTGCTGCTGGGAATTTAGGGGAAATATAGGGGCGTCACAGATTCTTTCCGATGGGTTGCAATGCGTTTGGTGCAGTAAAATGAATCCTAGTTAAACTTCACGCCAGCAAAAAAAAAAAAAAATTACAGACACGTGCTATTTTTAATTTTTTTTCTGGGGTACCTGCTTGTGGTGCAATTTATACAAGATCACATTCCCGCAAAGGGAAAAAACTGCAAAGATTGCAAGCTAGAAACCTTATCATAATATTTCACGCAAAGGTTATCTTATGGTCTCATTGACCACACTTGCATTATAATGTTATATCAATAAGAGCTTTACAGTCGCACATATGCAAAACCAGGAATTCTATAAATGTGGGAATCGTGCATCTCGCGTTTCGAGTTTGTGAGGTTTAAAATGTTGTCGTAAAGGGATACTAACACGAAATATCGGCGCTCATTTTTTGGTCTATATGTCTTCAAAGGAGGAGCATCACATCGAACATACCAATATCTGGTTAAAAAATTCACGAAAAGGAATTTCAAAACGAATTAAACGATTAGCAAAGAGCCCGTGGTGGATGTCTCTGACGCCTCGCTTGTAATGCCCGTCTAGGAACCTTGACAGCTAGTGACGGAGGTTGTCTCGCCTGCGGCCACGACGAGAGAAGAGGGGCAGGAGGAACTCCCCTCTTCCCGAGAATGACTTTTGTGTGTCGCAGAAGTCGCTATTGTCCCCTTACAAGATTACAGAAGATTATTCCGTCACTCAAAATTCGTACAAAAGAAGCCGCTTCGGTGATTGGAACGACTAGGCCATCCTCTCGACGTCAGCCTCGCCGTAGCTCTGCTCGTCCTGAGACGACCTACGTCACGATTGCGTCGGATGTCACATGGTCTTTGCTGCGCCTTCTCTGAGCGCTTGCCAGAGTGGGCCGTTTATAACAAAAAATACAGCCACGAAGCTCACAATACAAAAGTGCGATTGTCATTCACGGATATTGTGGATCATGTTCAAACTATTTTTGAACACGACGGGAATATTTCAAATTTCGTTGAAGTACCCCTTTAAAGGAGGGGGGGGGGGGGTGCAACAATTTCCACACTTCTGTTTAAAAGTTGTGGAAGTCGCCCTCTGAAACGTCTCAAGTAAAGAACAGAAAACTGAACAGAAAACTGATTTCGTCTGCGTGTCCTAGTTGTGTAAAAAAAAAAATCTATATTGCCATTTTTGGCACCCCTCATATCACTCCCAGACTTCATAATCACACCTGGTCGCACTCCTAGTAACGTGATTCAGGGTTCCGTGTAGGTTACCGTGTGCTCTATCGGAGGATGCTTCCTCACCCTTTCTCTGCGGAAATTAGCGGGCGTTTTGCTGCAGCTTAGAGCCGAGCGAGGTCACGTAAGCTTCGAGTCGTAGTTCCTTCGGCTACGGCCGGTGGGGGCGAAAGCTCGACATTTGCTTTACAATTATGCAGCGGAATCGCGACATTTTCTAATGAGGGAGAACTTTTTTGTATTCTCCGGGACACGATAAACAAAGTAAAAATGACGAAATTCAAATTCTTTTAATCTTAAAGACTTTGGTCCCCCCTTTCCTTTAAGCAAGCAAACAAAAATATGAATGGTTAGCAATGGAGGAGTTAAAACTAACCTCAGCATTATTTCAATCGGCACCAATCAAACAGGGGTAACAACTCAAGCCTCTATTACCCTGTGATGTTAGTCCCCAGCCGGTGACTACAACGTCGCCCTCCAACGGGCGATCCTTGGCGGGAAGACAGACAGCGCCGATGTGCCCCTCGCTCTCGCCAAAGTCAAAAGGCTCAGCCAACTTGAGCAGTGCTATGTCGTTGGGCTTTCCTTCATTCGACCACATATCAAACGACTCGTGAGCAGCAAATTTTTGCACCTGCGGGCAGTGAGAAAACGGTCGATTTGTTGTTTAGAATTGTATATTTTGAATTGCAGTCTTAACTGATTAGTTCGTTCATCAAAATGACGTATCGAGAGCCAGCGTAACTGCCAATAATAAACTTAGTAACATATCGCTAGCAGACATGTAAACGTTGCCTCAAAATGTTCATTAAATACCATTACTGGTTACTCGCGCAAGAGGAAACTAAAAACGTTACTGGTTACCGATTTACCGATTACCGAAAAACGCTACTGGTTACCCAAATATAGACAGTTACTTTTTTCGTTTTTTTTTGTCAATCAAACACACAATTGCTTTTTGTTTCATAAACGTTTTTTTTTTTCAGTAGTCGTTGCAATTAAGCAGTAACTAACTCTCAAAGTTTTCATCAAATATGATTCCCTGCTTCTTTGAGAATACATCTCAGGCGACGCCCAAGAGTCGTTCTACTGACGCGTTTCGTTTTCGCTCCACACGTTACTCATCAAAAGTCACCTAGAATACCGTTACTGGTCATTTTGCCTTTAAGGTCACTAAGTACGTTACTCATTCCTTTACTTAAAAAAAAACTAAATACGTACTCGTTACCGAAACAGGAACTAGGCAGCAGTAACTCGTCACTAGTAACGTGTTACGAACTTACCGAATCTCTAGTAACGACACCGCTGGAATAGAACAGCCCTCCAACACCAGTTGCTAGCCTCAAGCCAAGAGTGCCGAATTAAGCAGAGCTGTTTCGAGTATGTCTTGTTTTCTTAATAACCTTGATTTGTTTATTCACTGCTCAATTACACTATAATCTCGGCAAACATAAATGATTCACTGTGTGGTCGGTTTTCCTTGTTGCATACCTGACTCGGAGGAATAACACGGAGCCAACGGTTTCAACAACAAGAAACTACATTCATTGGACATGGAAAAGATGATTAACATTGTTACAGGCGGTGCTGAGTCCAGCCAGCGACTCCCTGAGCGCCGCCTCTGATGCGCCTTATCAAGGCGGCGCACACGATGTGCGCGTGGCTGGCGTGACATCGCCGCAACGCGGGAAAAGTTCGGCACCTTTACCTCGCAGTCGGGCAACTGGGCTAAGACACCGCCGGAGTGCCCCCCCCCCCCTCCGCCCCCCCCCCCCTCCGCCCCCCCCCCCCTCCCCCCCCAAAGCTTCGTCCGGCATGTCGATGACGGAGACGTTGTTGTGGGCGTCGGGGGTGGATGACGCTGCTGGGCGGACTGACGTTGCAAGTCCGGCCGACGCCTGCTGGATGAGCGCGATGGTTCGTTGGCGGTCGCGCTCGCCACATTTGTTGACGCGCGCGATGCGTTCAGCGTCCGCTCTCCCCAGCTCCTTGGTCACATGCTGCTCTTTTTGCAGCTGTTTGGTCAGCTTCAGCTGTCGCTTGAGCTCCTTGCTCTCGATTAGGGCTCGCCTGGCGGCCATCTTGATACCCCGCAAGCTACGTCAGCTTCTCATCCAATACATGCACGACTGCCTTGGCAGGACACAGCAGTGGAGCAAACTTACATAAAGTTATCACAAATTGCTACCCATGGCCAGGCATGAGGCAGGATGTGCTCCGATACGCTCGTAGCTGCTCGGTGTGCCAGAAAGCGAAACCACGTGGTGGTCAGCCCCCCGGTCTCATGCAACCAACTGTGAGCCAGAGCCCTTGGCAGATTTGTTGCTGTGACGTCATGGGGCCCTTCCCACGTAGTACCCGGGGCAATCAGTACTTGTTCGTGGTAACCCACCGCTTCATGAAGCGGGTTGAGTTATTCCTTTTGCGGAAGCCGAATTTGCAAATAATCTGGAAGTGTCTACTTGAAACATGCTCTAGGTTGGGCTTTCCAGCACAACATGTAAGCGATAATGCCTCCTACCTAACGAGTAAGGTGTTCCTGGACGCTTGCGCGGTGCTGGAAATTAAGCACAACAGAAGTTCCCCATACCACCCACAAGTAAACATCACGGAAAGGGTAAGCCGGAACCTTAAGATGTTGTTTGTGGCCTACACTGAGCGCCACAAGGACTGGGACGCGAAACTGCCGGAGCTGGCATTCGCCACCGGTACGACGTCTAATCGGTCAACGGGTCTCATTCCTGTCGAATTGAATTTCGGCAAGGAGCTCGTGTTCCCGCTTTTTAACGGTCTCCTTTCCACAGAGTCTGGGAAAAGGCTTAGCCCTTACATGAAGTTCGCAGAGGACCTGCGAAAGCGCTTCTCTGATAACCTTCGAAAGGCCCGAGAAAATGTCGACGTCTCCCGAGTGCAGCAAGGCAAACCGACCACAACTGTTATAACACACTCCTCACCGAAATGCATTTGCACCTACGCTCGCTTTCTCTTCTAGTGTCGTAGCAAACAAAAATATCGGTTTTTCGCGGAACGTTACTAATTTGACGAATCATCTGTTGAATCAGTCTGTATGTAGGAGCATCTTAGCCTAGGTTTGTGCCATTTTATCAAGACGTACACGTTTCAAACGCTAAAACATTCATCTTCCTTTAGCGACCGTATCTTTTAAAAACTATATTGCGAAGAGCGTTAATAATGCTCAAACCTTCATTTTTTTGACGTGACGAGTATAGAGGAAATACAACTTCATCTTTGGTGAACAGAGTGGCTAGTGGACTCTCAATTATACAATATCTCTCTAGTAAAAAAAACCCTAAAAACTCAGTCAACACTATAAATAAGAATGCTGTCATGTTTTTAACGCTATGATACCTACATTGCGTACTTGGCTGTAGTTGGGCGGGTTATTGAGGTCCAAGAGTCCAGCCTGGACTTGTATATTGGCTGGAACTATTCTGGAAAAATGAGTGCACTGCTTATGCCATTTTTATCAGCAAGCAGAACGTATACGTACCCTCGTAGACAATGCGCAGCTGTCACAACAATGTCCGGTTCGATGATAGATCCCCCACAAAAATGAGACCCGAATGCGTCCTGGATAGCCACCTGCAGCAAAACACGGTGCGAGTGATAAACTTTTTGCTAAAAATACCTCCACCTCCACCCTCTTTACACATATACACACAAAAAAAATTCCACAATGTGAGTTGTTTGTAATAAAGATACAAGGAAGCACGCTTTTGCCCAGTTCGCCCTCATAATGTCGACATCATGCAGGTGTTACATACGTCCAAAGTTAGGTCGCATACGAGAGACAACTGGACGGCACCTCAACGCCTCACCCCAAGTACAGCCTGATTTTTCGGTTTATACAAGACCGCTCTATGCCAAATCGTGTGTATTTTGGTTTTATGAGCCACCGTGTTGAGGAACACTTTGGTGCCAAAATCCAATGCTAGCAGCACAAACGGTTTGTACATATCGAACAAAACTGCAGGAATAAAAGGTTTTGCAAGATGTGGGCAGCTCCACGTCAACACAAACACTGCAACTATCTCTCTGAACCAAACTGCGCGAACTCCGGATGTTCTCATACGAAAACATTTGCCGGCTTCTCCAGCAAGAATGCTGCCCCCGTGCTGAGGAAACAGGAAATACTGAACGGTCGCGTCCCCAGCCGTAGATCGGCACCTCCGAATCCAGAGACGGTACACGTGCCTGAAACACAGAGTCTAAAAAGAAATATCAACGCCAAAGAAAGAACGGACGTACTCACATATCTTGAAAAGACCTTCGAAGAAACAGTCAAGTACCACAAAAGTGAAAGCTCAACGTGATCCAATGACCTTTGCCCCAATTTTACTGGGAACATCTCTAAGGTCACAGCCATCGGTGCCTACCGCACCTGTCGCACGCAGAGCTTCAAGAACCTCAACTTCTCGTCTAAAAATGTCCAACACTTGTGACATGGCCATCCGCGGTACTGGCACACCGGTAATCCACCACACCTAGGGATGGATCTACAATTGCTTCTCCAACTGGTCTTTCTGGCAGTGAAAGCAAACATCATATCACTTCCCGATGCCCTAAACATCTCCGTAATAAAAACGCGTCTTGCTATGGAGACTCTTTCACTGGCTTCTAATAGATTCATATAAATGAATGAAGAACTTCGCTGTACGACAATATTTTAGTGGAACGCCAATTCGTTTTGTACAAAAATGGGTGAATTCCGGAAGCTCGTAGCCGAATTTCAGTTTGCTCTTATTACAATATCTGATGGACAGACGAATGGCCAATTCAGACTTGCTGGCTATGTCTCATACAGCTCTAAACATCCGCGTTGTCTAAGTCGAGCCTTGATTTGTGTCAAGAAACAATACAATTCGATCTTTTTATGCACATCTTCACCTGATATGCCAGAATATGTTGGATGCAAAGGCAATTTTGTTGAGAAAATATTTAGCGTACTTAGCATTTACATCGAACCAAATATAGTTATTACAGAAAAATATATCACGTCCATTTTAGATTGGGTTACTAGTATTCACCCACATAATACACTATGGGGCGGTAAGCAATTTGACAAGCGCGGTAAAGCAATAGACATCATTGACAAAAATAATCTATGTGTGTTATACGATGGCTCAAACTTTTTTTCAAGAACGCAGTTATTTCAGTGTTCTGGGCCAAACACATTACTGACAAGGCCTATTATGTTTCTGATACGGTCTGGCACATAGACGTTAAAACGCATGGGAGTGACCACCTCCCCATTCTTGTACAGTTTTCAAAAGTGTTGTGTTCAAACCGGAAACATAGAAATATCAATATCACGAACTGGCGTAGCTTCCGGAGGTTGAATGCCATGCACTGCAAATTATGGACGCGTTAGAAGAGTTTACTTTGTTTGTGAAGGCAAATTTTGATCGTGTAACACGGCCAGTGTCTGCCCCCGAAGGGTATGCAAGAATAGATGCATCATACGAAAAAATTAGGTTGTTATGCCGTAGAGCAGAAAGAAAATATCGAAGGTCTGTGATGATGGAGGAATATCAAAAAGCTCCGCGCGTACACGACCTTCTCCGCCCCAAGCTGAAATAGCTATCTAGGCATTGATGGCAACAACGCTGTAGCAACTTGGTAGCTGTTAGAATTCTCACAAGGCAAAAGAGCATAATCACGGCATTCCGTTTACCAGTAATACAGATGTATCCTCTCCGCGCTATGGCGTTGTCAAGTGGAGTCTCAGAATTGGCACTCACCGACCGATTTCGTGAATTACTGGTAAACTCGAGCAATGCAGCGATGACGTTAAGGTACGGTACATCCTGTGTCATAGCCCAAAAAGCCATTGGCTGCGAATTACATGCCTTGGATACAAAATTGACCACCCTTCACTACTTTGTGAAATGAAGTGCGCCTTACAATCACCTCGCAGACGGCAGTCACCCGATCCCGAATTGATGACATGGGGAATACTGGGGAACCTCGGTCCGACTGCCTCTAGCAATCGCCTCAAAATGTTTAACTCTATCAAGATTTGTGAAGTTGTTCTTTAACAGTGGACAGCCAAAATCATGGCTCTCCTCAAACCAGGAAAGACCCCAGTGAAATTAGCCTCGTCCCTGCCAGTCAGCATGACGTAGCTGCGTTGGGAAGCTTTAAAAAAAATCAACACTTACAATGGTGGCTTCAATCATCCAAAAACCTTCCGAATGAATGACTCGGATTTCGTTAAAAGCGTTGCACAACGGACTGCATTCTAGACTTAGTCGTATGGACGGAACACGAACATAAGCTTGAAAAAATTACAGTTGCCTTATTGTTAGATATTAAGCGAGCATATGACATTGTTAGTTATGTACACCTTGCACGCAGTTCTCTCGAACTCTGAGTTAGAGGCCGTGTTTTTCGTTAAATTAAACTTTTCGTTACAAATAGGACTATATTAATGCAGACAACAAATAGAAAGTCCCGAAGGCACGTTTTCAAACATGACGTTCAGCAGGAAAATGTTCTCAGTCCAACAAATTTTAGTCCAATCATGTCTGAACTATCAAGAAACATTCCATCACCGATTGGCGTCACAATATATGCAGACGATATTTGTACACGGATTTCAAATAGTTGTGTCGAAACACAAAGAAGACAACTTAAAACTGGACTCAACATCATCGAGCAATAGTTAAATGAATGCGGCATTGAAAACGGTTGAAAAGTACCTAGGTACAAGTAACTGGAAGTCGGTATCTAGGTGCTTTTGTTCTGCCTGAGGTGCAAACCTAGGTACTTTCATTTCTCAAAATATGTATCTGTATATTAGTTACCTTTTAAGTATCTTGTAACTAAGTGAAGTTACTGTTTACCGATGCTTTTCTATTAGCTTCGTCAAAATGGTAGAATCTATAAATCTTAAAATATTAACACAATACCATGTGCCGTAATTTCCGTTGAGTTGGGTACAACCTGGGAGGCGCTCACTTAATCAAATGACGTTTTAGCAAACGAAGCCCCGCCCATAATATTTCATCGAACGACACTTTAACGAATGGCGGTGGTCATTTAAGCGAACGGTGGATTCGCCATGCCGTTCTAGCGGCACCAATTTATCGAATCGCTTCGGAACGCCTTTAGGGTAAATAGCGACCTGCCTCCTGTGTGCCAAACAGAAATTGACTTCATTGTTTGTTTGGAGCTCCTCTGACACCTATACAAGGGAAGAGATAACTTGAAAGATCTACGCAGTTTTTTGTTGCCTGTACCTTGTCCTGGTGATGGCCTCTTCTGCCATAAATACAATATAAAATATAATTTAAATTAAATTTTCATTACAAGCGTAAAGCAATATAACACCGCGTATATAATACAGTTTCCACTTTTAAAACGGACTAATATTTTGTAGTTATCAAAACTGATAAAGTTCAGAACGGAAAAAAGGCTTTTTTTTCTTCCAACAAAATAAAAAGGTTCGAGGTACGCCTAAGGACTTCTTATTAGTTGCGGATACGAAAGCATGCATGCCGTTCCTCCGGTCCCTTATTTCGTCTGAGGCGTACTTGTGTCGACGGTCGAGCGCGCGCACTCTCCTCGCCACGCTGACCTTGGGCGTGGAGCGGTGGAGCCGCTGCCTCGCGTAAAAACAGCGCCATGGGGAGGCGCTAATTGAAACTGACGCGTGGCAGCTTCATATTACTGCTGTCTTCTGTGGCTTTCTGCGTTGTTTCATAGCTGGGATGCCTCAGATTGTGGCTTCGTAAATTTATCTGCCGTTTGGCGCGGCTGATGACGTCGACTCGCTCCACAAAACCAATTAATGCTTTCGCATTAAAAAAAAAAAAAAAAAAAAAAAAAAAAAACGCGGAAGTTTGAAGCCTCTAGCTTGTCGTCTCGGAAGTTAGGTGCATATGCACTCGACTCATGGGTGTCTTCACGCGGCCAACGTTTTCTGGGCCCGTCGACGTCAGCACCGTCTCCGAGGGCAAGGTAGTCAACATGCCAGTTTCGGCGGTTTCGGCGTGGACACGGTAAACAGTTGAAAGTGTGGACTCGGTGAACCATTTGGAGCGTGGGGCACGTGAAAACTGAACTCCGATGTGGACATCGGGTTGTCATCAATAAAGCACATTTATCGAACTCGTATTGGTGCGCATCCTTAAAAAAAAAAGCGTTACTTCCAATATATTCTGACAAATTTGTGGAAAATAGTTCAAGTATCTTAGAAGTAACTGTACCTGTACCGAAGTGCATTTTTAAGCGAGTACCTTGGTATCTTTTCACATGAGCAAGTGTAACTCTATCTTAGGAACATTTTAAAAGTAACTTTTACAATCCTTTATGAACATAGCCCCTACAAAATTGGTGGTGCTCCCTTTCACGAGGAAGCACCTTGAAGGACTTAAACTCTCAAGAAGAGTCAGATACTCGAACGCGTAAAATGCCACCTATTTTTGGAGTAATCATGGATCAATATTTTACATAGTACAAACAAATGGACATGTTGGAAGACAAAATAAACAGAACCATAAACATCAATTGTTATTTTGCTCGGACAAGCTGAGGAGGCCCAATGTAGTCCCAGTCAGTTTTACACTCAAATCTGGGACGTCAACCGATTGCTTACTCAATTTCAGAGCTATCTGCGTTACCAGCAACACAAGGAAATAGACTATCTTATGCCGGCTCGAAGCTTGCGAGTTTGTCTCGGCGTACCACATCCGACATTTGGAACCCTTGCATCAGCAGACCCTAGCGAAAATAAGTCAAAAGGGCCCTTCAAAACTTTTCAAAGGGTTTGAGGGGGCCTTCAAGAATTTTTAATAGGTTTGACGTACCCCTTAAAAAGTCTAAAGGGCTCATCAAAACGTTTTGATGGGTTTGACGTACCATTTAAGAAAGTCTAAAGAGCCCGTCAAAACCTTTTGAAAGGCCTAAGGAGGACTAGAAAGATTTCTTAAAAGGTTTGAAGAACCCTTTAAGATTCCTCGATGCGTTCTGGGCCACGTCAGAATCTTTCTTAAAGGGTTTGAAACGCCCTTTAGACGGTTCTAAGAGGTTTCTTTAGATGCCTGTGGGGCTTTCAAACACACCCGTCAAACAATTACAAGCAACTCCCAGAAGTTTGTTAAAGTAAGACAAACTGTAGCCAGCCAGTTCTATTTGTATGCAATTTCTAATTCAACATCTTTAGTGCCTAAAATACTAAGAAAAAATTATGACTTCACGTGTCTTTCTTAAAGTAACAAAAACTAATCCAGTCAAGGTACAAAATCAAGGTGCATAAAATGCACCGATACATTCACTGAAAAACTTCAAGGAAACTCAATAACCGTAGCAATATGAGCGCACACTGGTTGTCATGCTGTAAGCTGTTGAAGAAGTAGAGGTCGAAGAAGAGCGGAGAGGCGCGGGCTGGAAGAGCTCGCGGCAAGGACTATTTGGCTGCGATCCGAACAAGCGACCGACTGTGCTTGGCGATGCTCCGAGCAGGCACCGGCGGGCTAAACCACATTTGGAAGGTGAGCTGACCAATCCCCGAAGCGACGCACTTCGACGGTGAGGTGACCGACTCCCGAGGCGACGGACTTCGAGGGTGAGCTGACCAATTCCCAAACCGACGGACTTCGACGGTGAGCTGACCAATTCCCGGGGAGACGAACTTCGACGGTGAGCTGACCAATTCCCGAAGCGACGGTATTCGACAGTGAACTGACCAGGTGCGGAAGTGACGACCTTCGAATATCGACCAAGAACCTAAAGGCTGGGGCCAACCTCAAACCTACCGTCAACCGGACTGATTGTGACATGAACCTCTTTATTGCAACTGTACATTTGTAATTAGTCGTGCTCTCTGATAAAGAGCCGCAATACTTAAAGCGAAGAGGGCGAATTAGTGACAATCTTGTATTGAACACGTGATATGTATTTACTTTTTTCCTTCATTTATTTGGTATGGCATGTGTGCTATTTATATTGAATGCTAACATAAATCTTTAGATGATAGTCAGTGCTGTGTCCTGTCGGTGACTTTTCACTTTGTCCTTCGCATTGTTTTGTCTTTAATTATGTCTGTATACCAAATAGCCCAAACTTCTGTGATAATCACTTCAATGTCCCTTTAATGGTAATTATTTTTTTTATGTGATACAGCAGTCATGAATATTTTTACAGAGCTTGGTAACCAATGTGCAGGTCGTGAATATTGATCGAAGATAAATTAGTGTTTTGTTGTTTTTTGTCTTTTAGTGAGATTCCAGAATGACAAACTAGCTTCTTTGGTTTTTAAAGAGATCGTGCCATCGGTAAGTGTGATATCCATTATTTTAGTGAACCAGTGCTGAATGATGACTTCTCATTGCAGCATAGTAGTAAATATACTGAAAATAGTGCGTTTCTGAAAATGTGGCACTGAACCCAAACAGAAATTTAAAGTGTAGGAGTTCCGAGCTCTTACCTACATAATAGTTAGCTAGGTCATCGTCGTGCAGCATCTGCCACTAAATCTCTGTGTTTATCTCGACTTGCTGTAACGATTCGTTAGAATATGATCATGTTTTATGTTGTGTTACCTACAACTTAAGTACAAATGTTTGTTCTGCGTATAACATTCAAATGAAATTTTGCTTTCATCCTACGTTGAAATCTTGTCTTGGTCAGTTGTTTGAATTAATCTGGGCCTGCCATGCAGCTATTTTAAAGCTGTATTCCTGGCTCGAGAGGTTTGTGAACACCTATACTCCATTTCATACTTGGCAATGCTGTCAAGGCTACTGGCACGAGCATGTGACTATATGATGAGCTTTGTGCACGCCTTTGCACTTGATGAAACCACATGCGCGTGTTGGTAGCCTTGACAGTGTTTTACACTAATTATGAAACGGAGTATAGAGAATTCAATTTCTTAGGGGCTAATGGGTCTAAAGGGTTGAAAGGTCTCAAGGGTTGATGGATCTAAAGGGTTTCTGGGCGTAAAGGGTTAGTGGGTCTAAAGGGTTTATGGGACTAAAGGGTTGTCGGGTCTAAAGGGTTGGCGGGTGTAAAGAGTTGACGGGTCTAAAGGGTTTGAAGGGCTAAGAGGGTCCCATAACACATCAAGGCTGATGGGTTATTTTCAATAGGGAGGCCAAGCAATTACCAGTGTTATCATTGTGTGAACGGGAACTACTGCTTCATTTCCTACGAGTATCGACGCAGTGCTGTAACCAGCCCCTCGCTGATGCATTATTCACTCGAAGCGAATTATATACCAGCTATGCGCTTGTAACATCAACTTTCAACAACCTTGCTACAAGGTGTGGGTTCAAGGATCTAACAAACTACCCTGGATGTACCAGGCTCCAGAGATCAAAATAGATCTACCAGATTTCAAACTAAAAGCAACAACGACTGCATTGGTTATTGCTCAAAGTACCCTTGCACACATTGAGGAAACATATGCTGATCATATACATGCATATAGTGATGGATCCACAAAGGAGGACGGATTAAAATCGGCATATTTCATACCAACACTTAGAGACCAAAATTCATACCGACCTTCCCACAGAAAGTCATCGAAACTGGCAGAGCTACATGCTATCATCTCTTCGGTAGAGCATATAAGAGAGACACGCGGTTGAATCAAGTGGCTTATATGGACTGACTATCAGGCAGCACTTAAGGCTATCAATGCAATGAACCCTTAAAAGCTCGAACTCATCACTCGTTTATAGAATTATAGAAGCTACCAATAATTGCCTAAATTCTGGACATGCAATCAGGTAACAATGAATCCTAGGCCATAGCGGCATCCAAGTAAATATGGAAGCGGACAAGGCTGCAGAAAACGCACACACTTGTGCAGGGTGCAAATTATACCTTATACAAGTAAAGGCATAAATATATAGGAGAGAATCGCCCTAAAGAAATATGATTAGATATATGATTTAATGATCGAGGTAGAAATTCTACAATAAATCAATTAAGTAGACCCAAATATCATTTTACCAATGCAAAATGACCTTCCAAGAAAGATCGAAACGTTAATACACCGCTTACGTTTGAGAGTAGCATACACAAATGAATTTATGCTAAAAATTAACTAATAAATTACCCTAGCTACGAATGTGGGCAGAAGACAAAGAAAAATATAACATCATTTCATCGATTGCCTTCGCATCAACCAAACCCGATCACGGCTAAAAATGCGGCTGCACATTATTGAGAATTAACCATTTTCTCTACACAAGGTAGTAGGACCGTGGCCTAACCATAGCTCGGAGAAATAGGCATTTGCGATAATCAAACAAGTCCTGAAAGAAACTGATATTGTAAATAGCTATTAAAATTGGAAGTACTATATAAGGCTGTATATATCTGTTCAACTGAATGAAATTGAATAACTTTACATGCTCGTTGAGAATTGTGGTGTGATAAGGGATGTCAAATGTGAAAGACCGAACTTGTCTGATGATAGTGTGAATTTTCAAGTGGACTCAATGTTACCAAATAATTGACTGTTTATTTTTTTGCGGTAGAAAGCTTTGGAGGGAGGATGGAAGGTGGATGTATACAGGGTAATGTGGGATATTCTAATTTTTTTTTTAACGATGAACTGAACATGGAGTAGCCAGCCATGTCTTCATATTGGCCAACATTTCCGATTTTTTCTTTATTTAACTAAGAAATAAAAAGGAGATCTTACATTTGTATAGTCCTACGCGATGTACTGGTACTTCGATATATAAAAAATACAGTTCCTGGCAGCACAAGAAGCCTAGGGCTTTGCTTGTTATCATCACGTATTTTGCTTCGTTCTTTGGCTTTCTAATTGGCTAACATCAATCAAAAAAAGCCGTCATCGCCTGTAGAGCGATAAGATGACACTCGCCATGGGATAAGATTCTTATGCTCAAGAAACGCAGAACATAGCAGTGACGAGCACCTTATTACCTATCCAATGAGCTTAAGAACAAATCACGACGCAAGATCCGTAAAGACATCCCACTCTGAGCATCTAAATGGCCAGTGAGTTTACAGTTATTCTTCACTTTCTCCTTTCCCTACAAAATAAGAGACATAATTCATGTTAGATGTGTGAACATGATTTCTGTATTCCAGGGGCTGGGCGCAGTTACACGCATTTTCTCCTTTATAACTTACGAGTAAACAATGAGAAACAGCAAAGATTATATGGGAGCTGTGGGAGATTGAATTTGTCGTTTATATTGTAGTTGCCTAGTGAGTTATACAAAATATTTTTATGACTAATATTCATTCAGTGTTTTTTTTTTCCGTTTCGTACAGACATCGTTGGTCAGCCTCTGCCCATTTCGACACTTAACAGTGACCGGTAAGAAGAACCGTCCGAGTATCGTACTCAAGACTTAAAACAGTAAAGCAATTGTTCAAGCTGCTTATTAGACGGGCAGACGGCAGAAACAGCGTTAAAACAACGCCTCATTCCCGTTTGAGTACACTTACCATCCACGGAAATTCCCCTTCTGTGGCGTTCCGTCCTCCAACTATTCGTCCACCTTTGTTAAGGCTCGTACCGCATTTTTCACCTAAAGTTTCAGCCATTTGGGAAAAAGAGAAGAAAATAATGAAATGGCCTAAGCCTATTCATAATTTAACATGTGGTTTAAGATTTACATACATAGTTCACCTAAAGGTATGTCTCACTGCGAAGCTCGCTGAGTGCATATCACAGACTCTAAAAAAGGTCGGTAGGTCTACGTCTTCGCAAAAGAATCGGTAAGCTTTGAGAAACCCCCATTAAATCGTTCACCATGATTTGCCCAAATCTTGATTTTGACTGCTCTTCCGCTAATATTTCTTCACTCCTTAAATCCTAGCCGATGCAATCGCGCATTCACTCACACAGAGACAGTAACTGTAAACAGATTATCTTTCTTTTGTAACATGTCTCACAAGCCGCGGACAGATATGACGTTATATTTAACGGACAATTATACATCACTTCGCCTCTCTTATAATTCTGCAGACTATCACCTCTCTTATAACTGTGCAGACTATCATTTCGGATGATCGCCTAATATAACAAAATGGATTAATTGGAAAGACGGCGAAAACAACAATAGTTTCACGCACCACATGGTAACTTTATTTGAAACATAAATAATCACTTCAAGAGGTGATTGCTGCACTAAAGTTTTGGTTCATGCTAGCGTTTGCAGATGAAAAGCAATTTTGTGATCTGTGCTACTAATGCGTTCCAGATGTGTATACATTTAGGAATTCTGCCTGGATTATGCCTTTTCCTACGTCTGCGTTATCGATTTGTGATAACAAGGCGGGAGTTACGTAACCTTATTTTGCTGTCGCATTTGCTGACTCTTTGCGTCGCCGAATAAGAATGCGTGACACATTTAAGCATGTGCGCATACACAGGGTGCTGTAACTTCAGGTACTGACCCCGTTACTTCTTCGTATAACTTACCCCAAGACAAAGACGCGATAAAATTCCTGAAACTCCCGCTTTACAGCTGGATCCAGAACAATCAAATATGACACGGAAACTATTCATTCATTCATTCATTCATTCATTTATTTTTCGTGCTCATGAACGGCGAGTAGCCTATGTAATGATGCACAGAGTCAAAAGAAACACACATAAGAAATCAACAGCACATGCAACAGCTAATATCTATTATGGGGGAACAGGAAATAGGTAACAGTTAAATATCAGCCAGAGAACACCTAAACGCTTGAACACTTGAGTTGAAAATGTCGATGTCGATGCTGGTTGTACTGAACCTGTTATAAAAATGTTGGATGCGGTTCATGGGACTGGAGAGGTTGATTTTTTGAACTGAGAAAGTGGGATTAACCCTCAAGAGCACTCGCGGTACATATATGCTAATAGCTGATGTAAGGGTCGAACAGTCAATGCAACCATGAACGCATTTATACAAAAAAACTAGATCGCGCTCAAGTCTTCTCGAGCTTAGTGTGGTACAATCACATCGTCGTAAAAGCCTGTTATACTCATAATAAACACTGCGGCCAATATAGCGATCATATACAACACGGAAGAAACGTCTCTGCACGTTTTCGATTTTTGCTTGGTTTGCATTACCAATACAATTCCAAACAACAGAACTAAACTCAAGCTTGCTACGTATTAATGAAAAATACAAAATGAATATGCAAGCTGACGAAGGGAATTCACGTGTTATTCTCGAAATAACACCTAGCGTCCGATAGGCAGCATTTGTGATGTTGGAAACATGTTCATTGAATGACAAAGATGAATCAATATATACTCCTAGATCTCTTGTGCATTCAACCCTACGCAGAGGTAGGTTCTCAAGATAATAACAAAAACTTACAATTTCCAGTTTCTTAGAAAAGGACATAACTACAGTTTTTTTAGGATTTAGTGTTAACAAATTGCGGCAACACCAATGATGCACAGCATTAACATCCTCCAGTATCATTTCACAGTCATAGATGGATGAGACCTGCCTAAACAATTTGATGTCGTCAGCATATTGCAAAATATGCTATGTATGTATTTTACAATATGTATGTACTATGTACTATGTATGTATGTATGTACTACTATGTATTTTACAATAAAACAAAATAAAGAGACGTCTAATTGGTTCCTCTCAAAGGCGCAAAACAATTAGGTGACTCTGATGACCGTTCAATTATTAGGCGAATAATTTATAATAGAGTAATCATATTCCCCAAATTGCGACTAGAGAAAACAAAATGGTAAAATGCGGTACAGGTCCCAGGTTGCTTCCTATTTTGTTTTCGATTTAACTTGGCTGAAAATCCGTCACAACCTTTCGCTTCCAACGTAAACGTCGCGACAGCCCAGAACAGGATTATGAGAACCAAATTCGCGAGAGTGACGGCCGAAATAAGGAGTGCAGCTATATGTCGAGCAGAGAGGGGTGGCGGAAGTGCGTTTTTTTGCTTGGTTCACGTAGTCTTGATGGAGTTTTCAATTATCTTGTCGGGTAGATTGGTGGTGTGGTGTGTGGGTGCAGGTCACTCAGTCTGGCTCGGTTTTGCCATCTTTGCGGCGGCATGTATTTTTGTTTTCCTCGTTTCTCTTTGTGTGCGTGGAAATAAATTTATGTTTCCTTATGAATAAAGTAAGCTGCGTTTGAGAATCTGTGACGTCTTGGCAGTTATTTTATTTCTCAGTGTCTTAGGGTTTAGATTGTGATTTAAACTATTTGAGGCGGCTCAAGACACCTTCCCAACATCTACTTGAAGTAGGAGTGCTGTCATTTGCAGAGTTAAGGTGCGAAACGCACGTAAACATAACTTTTTGCACACCAGCATGTTTCCCCTGGCCTGCCTGTCTATTTCTCAGTGCATGGCGCCTCGGTTGCAAAAGCGCCATGAGCTATGCAAACTAAACTGCAGAAGAGATTTAGTTCCATAAATATATCTAAATATTTATTCATTACCGTGAGAACTTTGTGTGACGACATATCCGTGTAGTGCTAGAAACGAAGTCTTTCAATGTTGTTATGAAAGGGGATGACGATTTGTTGGTTTTTTACCCACTGAAACGCTTCGTCGCTGATGGTCTGCATATAAAAAAGCAACCGTCCTTGTGACTTCGATACTCATTCCCTCCCTCCTGACAAGTGTATGCCTCCTTCGCCTCCACAGCGGAGCACGTGTAGAGTTACCCTTTTCCCCAGAAGTGTGAGATGGGATTAAATCCCGATACTCCAGCGACACGGCGACGACAGTGTGCTTGCTCTAGTCTTGTTTAATGAAGAAATGCAAGCAGGCTAGCAGCGCAGTGTCCTTCTAAATTGTGTTATCACCTCAGGAATGAGTTCAACGTAGTTTCTTAAAAACGTCCGAGTGCAGTAGTTAAGTTAAGAAGGAAAGGGAAGAAGGTGAAACACGTGATCTCGAAAGGAAATGAATGATTCAGTTTCTGCTGTTGGCACTCTTACAAAACCTGTGGTGGTCTTTGTTCAAAATCTGTTTAAAAAAGTCACCAGGCGCTATTAAGTGTCATCAGATTTTCACCCAATTTTCTTTAGCTTTTTTGTGATTTTCTTTTGAATATTGGCCCAGTTTTTAAAAGAAGGTCAACAGAAATTGTTTCACCACCAAGATGCTTTTTCTCTAGCTTTTCAGTTGCAGCTACAGCTTTTAAATTGAAAAGCAACACCCGTTTAAAAAGTGAAACACGTTTGCAAATATCTGTAATGCGAAACTAGACAACGCCACCTAAATCTGGATCTTAATGCCCAAAGCGCTTCCCTCTCTCCCTTCAAGGAGCATCTCTATGAGAGGGCTAAACTGGTAGTGCGCTTCTTTGCAAGGCTCCCAATGACAGTTGGCTTCTTTGAAATGCACGTTCTCTTTTACTTCCCCTCTCCCTCTACAAAAGAGGCGGCGGCATAAAAAAAAAACAAAAAAAAAAAACGTTTCGTTACGGTGTCGCGTTTCTTTTTATATTTTTCTTCTCCCCAACAGTCATCTGTCGCGTTCGTTTCTTCGAAAGCCTTGTTGAGCTACTCCTGCGGGTTGGGTCACGGGACAGTGAGGCCAGTGGAAGCAACAAGAACAACGCTAGACGCGAGTAGGTTTTCGCACGCCGAGTGTCGGAAGTTCAACTCTCGAGCGTGATAGAGCACATTTTGGAATACGACACAACCTTCTCGTATCTACTACGTTTCCATTCGATGGTTTGGTCGGTTTGATGCTATCCAGAGTTGGTGCTATCAATGCTATCATGCCGTACAAATGTTGTATATCTGCTATTTAAGTTTCTGCAAGGATGAGTACGGAAGCGTGGACTACAACGAATCAACGGGAAGATCTCGCTCTTTCACGGCACGGCAGGGTGAGAACTTTTTAATTTTTATTATCATTGGTTTGTTTCTTTTTGTTTGTTTTTTTAATTTTCTAGTAGTAATTTTCTTTGTTCTTTTTTGAATATAATTTTTGCAAGGTATAGTAAATGAAAAAGAAAACATGTACATCCTGTCGTTTCTGCGGATCGTCACCGTTGCGCAGAAATGATCCGCTACAACTCCTTAGTAAGACCTAAATTTTAGCGGGTCTTTGAACTGTGGTTTGGAGTGCAGGCTAGCCGGAATATGGTTCATTGACCAGTTTACATATACAAATAATAGAGGGATATACTAAAAATTTAGCTGGAGCTCTTCATGTTCCCCAAGGAATCCCACCACTCACTACGTAGCTCTATGGAGAATATTATTATTATTATTATTATTATTATTATTTGCCCTTGATCGGATAAACTAACGATGAGTCACATTGATTTATTTTACGAAAACGTTCGCGGCCTGCGTACAAAAGCCGAAAGCTTTTTCTCTAATGTTACCTTATCCCATTGCTTTATATTCTGTTTAACTGAAACATGGTTGTGTTCTAGCATCGGCTCCTCCGATTACTTCCCTCATCGTTTTGAGGTGCACTGCCGCGATCGTGATTCTACCCCGCGGAGCAGAACGGGAGGTGCAGTGTTGGTAGCAGTCGACAGGCGCTACCGCTTCTAGGAGACGCGAAGACTTAGAGAAATTTCCCT